CAAAACAAAGAAGAGAGGATGGAAGGAAGAAGACAGAAAATTACCTGGAAAAACAGCTCTTCATCTCATGTTTTTTGTCTGATTACTCCAGTAGACAGCAAACACCTGTTCAAGAACTTCTGAATTTTCAATCAGATATGACAACACAGCCTAGTTAAAGTTCCAGTCTGTATCACGTCTGAAGGTAACTCTGCTGAACCAGTCTTCAACCTGAACCCAGTGACTCAGACAGTCTTCTCAAGGCAAATTAGAGGTAAGCAGTGGTTAGTTGAACAAGTCAATGCCAGATGTATTTAACTGGATTTTTAAGAAGCTTGTACATTTTCAGGATTTGTTGATGCTGCAGAACCATCAGTCTTGTATCTACTGTGATGCTGGATGCATGTGTGCAAGTCAACAAGGGTGAAATAAACTCTGATATGAATGCTGAGTTTATATAATGTTCACTCAGTGCATCATTCTAACTTTTGCTTTGTTTCTGTTTTCCAACTGCAGAGAGGATCTTGAAGTGAACACCTGATTGGCAACATAATGAGTCTCAAGCTTAACTGGTGACTTGGAAGACAGCTTCTCCCAGTCAGCAGGTCCTGTCATAAAACTTCAGGCTAGTTAGCATGGTCACCAATGACAGTGGGTAAATGGTTTTCCTGTAACGGTAAGTTGTTTCAATAAGTTGTTTCTCCACCATTAGTACATTTAGCAGCAAGTACATGAGGTTAATTGATCCAGATCCAGGAGATCCAATCAGAATCCTTCAAAACATCCATGTCTGCCTGTCAGGAATTAAACATGGAGCTATTTGTGTGAACAGATGTACAGGTTGAACTATTTTTACGTAGGATGTTAGCAAGTTTCCCCCAGAAAAACAAGCTGAGCCTGGTGAGAGGCGTTACAGTCCCACCATGAGTTTGTGTTAAAATGCTAAAAGTCGACAGAAAATGTAACATGACTATTAGGACCAATAACAGTCATGTTATTATAATTATTATGACTAATAATTAATATTTCAATTAATAATTTAAAATGTTATTGGAAGACATTTTTGATAACAATTAAACATGCAACTATAGAGTCTTAAAAAATACTTGATATAATTAAAACAAATTACATCAAGTTTTTGTATTTCACTTAAATCCTAATTAAATAATCAGCCAGCCGATATTAAAACAAGACATTTAACGCAGGTCACATTCAGACCCAACAAAAGGGCCCCCCAGACCTCCAGGGCCCCATAAATGCTTACATTTAGATCTACAAGTTTTACATTTGTTTATAGAGAATGACATGATTTAAAGGTCCACTATTATGCAAAATTCACTTTTTTCATAATAAAATGTGAATTTTATTATGTTTCTGTATCTCCTGCTTCTAGAATCAGTACAAAAGCAAAACACAAATACCCAGCCATTTTTTGCGAATAAGTAAATGTCCTGCTGGTGTCTGCAAAATAACCTGTTTCAAAAAGTTTTAAATTATTGTGTCACAATTGGTTAACCCCAAGCCAGGCCCAGTCCCTCACCTGGCAACCCAAGTGCAGCTCCGACCAGTTCATTACAAGTTACTGCTGCACAATGGCTGCTGGAAAAGGAAAATATTTTTTATCGGCTGCAATACAGAGCAGGTCCAAGTATTTTCAGTAACATAGGACATGTGACTGGGAGAAATGTCCCTCACAATATCTATGCATATGCTGTAGTAAACTGGAAGTGATAGTCTACACATTGAGAAGATGCAGTGTTTGTGAAAACATGTCGGACTCTCATTCAAGAGTCCGACATTTTCAGATTTTTTTTATTTTTACATATTGAGAGAAATATTTCCCCTCTAACCTTGCAAATATATATTTTTTAAAAAGGTCACATTTGCGGATAAAGGGTCTTTGTGCTGAACTACTGTGCTGAGCGGCTCGACTTCACATCATGGCACACAGTCCCAAAGTGAAGCTGAAGCCTTAATGACGATCTAAATGTGTCAGATTCACAGCGTTTAACCCTTCAGTGGTTTGTGGCTGGATGGTCATTCAGGAGGTTCCACTTCTTCTGCTTCTGGGTCAAAAATATACGGCTGCCCTTTCAATTCACATGTGGTTTGAATCCTTGTCATTTCTATTCTAGGATTGTGTATCTAGTTTGTTAAATTTCAGGTTTCTTGTTTTCTATGTTCCCTGTATATTCTAACAACTGTTTCTCCCATTTCTTAAGCTCAGCTGCCTTCCATCAAAGCTGCACCCAGTTTCTAACTGGGTGCAGCTACTTTCTCCTACCTTCTCCTCATACAGGAATCAACTCTCCTCCATAAATATTTGTCACTCAGGGTCTTTGTCAGATCCTCCCGTTACTAACAGTCTGTCTCCCTGTGTCCATTGTGTTGCGTATATTTTGCTTATTTTTAAGTTGACTGTCGACTTTCTTTTTCTTTATGCTGCCTGCCTCTACCTGTGTATATCTATCTTTTTTATCAACCTGCTGGCTCACTGTTTATTTAGCTAACAAAGACTTTCAATTTGCGACAGAATAAGAATTCTAACCTTCACATTCAAATGAATTTGAAAGATTCTGAAACGGTTTAGTACATGTTACAAGGCTGCTGATATTTCAAAGTGAAATGAAATACTGTTACTCAAACTGAGTTACTGTACCAGGGTCACTAACTCCATAACAAAGGACCAACAGCCCGTAATTGTGTGGATGTTTCAAAATGACCAACTTGGACATCAGCTACTGTTACACAAGTGGCTGTCACCATCTACAGTTTCATAAAGAGACCTTTCCAGCACTCTGTCATTTTTTATGTTCTCAGGAACATCTGTTTCATTTTGTCTTGAAGCTGAAGAAGACGTCTAATGCGAACACATCCTGCAGACAAACTAAGACTTCTGGAGCTATTACAAGTAAAATCACTTCAGTCTATCTGTACTCTTTTTCTCTCAAATGTTTATCGCTTTATTGACCTTACAACACGAACATTTCTGTATCTGACCCCTTGTTGATGTCAGATTTAAACATGGACAGATGAAGACCTGGACTTTTCCAAGAATATTTAACATTCTGCAGCTCTTAGTTGTGAAAGCCCAATCTGCTGATTAACGGAGTTTGTTTTAGGTTCTCTCTGTTCTCTGCTACCACAGAGTTAATTATTAAATTATAACACTACCAAGCATAACACATTACCAGTGTGTAGATATGTATCATGTTATAAACCCTTAATTTAGTTTCAACAGTGTGATCCAAGTGACACTGGAATGAGTATTGGCTGACAATGTTTTGCTGTTTCTTTCTCAAATCTTCTGTACTGAAAAATATCTAAATGTCAGCTGCAGGTTAGAATAGACGAAGCAAACTTTGGAAGTCCAGTTGTTGCATTTCTTTTGTGCTGTAATTACAACTGCAATACCAATTTGAATGGCAGGAGCAGCTTATACATTGCGTGTCTCGCAATGGGAGATTTCTAATGTTGGTGTCTGTAAATTTGGTTGTACACAAGACGCAAGACGCTCTGCGACCTCTGACCCACGTTAAACATGCAGCAACATCGCTAGGCAGAAAACAGTGGATCAGGTATGATTTCAGTTCAGCAGAACAATTAGTAACACTGAAGGGCTCATTTTCACCGTAATGACCAGCAGCACTGGTTTGTGAAGTCCACTACATTTCCTGTAGTTGGTCTGGGCTGAGGTCAGCCTGTATTCACACCAGAAGCAGATAGAATCAGAATTTGTCTGGAAGCGGACCGAGACCACCTCAAAAAGTGGATCGTGGTCGTGTTGTTCGCTCCGTACCAGGAGTCACACCCTAAAACTAGCTTGCTTTAAAAATGACTGGATGAAAACATTTTATTTGAAGAAAACCTACAACATGAAAAGATAATTTTTCCAAACTGCTTTTTTTCTGCAATCCAAAATCTGCAGAAAAGTCCAATATGGCACACATCTACTGAGACTCAATACAGGCATGACATACAGCAATATGTCTAAATGGACCTCAACTTCATTTTGTTGGGTTCTTATTGTCTATTTTTTTACACTCCAGTGGAACAAAATATTTTAGCTAATGACCATAAATTCCACAGTCATCTTTCAGTACCTGTCAGGACTGATGACAGCACCGATGAGCCTCTGCAGAACAGTCTGAAGAAAAGGAGGTGTGAGAAGACAAGCAGGCTGCGATGAAGCAGAGGCAGAGGTGTTGGGTAAAGATGTGAGGAAGCACAGGCCGCTACAGTAAGTGAAAGAACAGCTGTATGCTGTGTGCCTGGCTGCCTGCCAGCCTGCTGAAAGGTGAGAGCAGACAGCTCCCCTTTACTCTCACAAACACACACAAGTAGAGGCTATATATCACATATTTTCAGAGCTTTTTCTTTTTGTCTTCCTTGGAGTAGATTAACAGAATCAGGTCTTGGAATGGCTTCCTTCACTGCCTGCATCTCCTAATGGCTTTTGCAGATTGATCTCACAATGGAAGTAAAGCGTGGTCATCCCTGATCTAATCACTTCCAGCCTCACACATGCATTCTCTTTTACCACTCATCTCCATGCAAACTAATATTTATATGTTTTTAACTGAAGTCTGTGTGGACACAGATCTGATCTGCGATGTATAACGTGACTGAACATGCACATGTACAACACGGAGCCACTGAGTCTTCATTGGCATATTGTATTAAATAAATTAACTAATAAAGACTTTGTTGTGATTACTGGCATTGAATAGGATTGGATTCCACAAGATCTTACTATTTTACTGAGCTGCAATCTCAGCTCTGACTGAGGTGTCCTACACTAGGCCGAAGTGATGAAGATGATTACCATAAGGGCGAAGCAGGGGGAAATGCTTGCTTTGGGGGGCTTTTTACCATTTCATCTCGGTCTTTCAAAGCGGATAATAAAAGGTCTTTATCTCTATCTACTGCAATATCAATGCTAAAAAAAGGCAGCAGCAGCCTCCATCACTAATGTACAACAGGGTAAAGAAGCGTCACGTTTCGTGCACTGAATAGCCTACCTGTTTGTCTCCTGTAGCCTGATGTGAGCGTTTCAGAGAAAGCCAGGACATCCGCGTCGCGATTCGGTCCGAGTGGCTCCAGGCGGACACTGGCTTGTTCCTAAGCAGCTGAATCGGGAGCCCCGTTTCCCGCTACTCTTCAGCTGTGGTCGACCCAACACACCATTTACCGTTATGTGTCCCACACAGCTGCAGCAGAGAACAAGCCCGTAGTATTAACTGGAAGATGCTTCATGGCTCACATCTGACACGGGATCGTCGATAGGCTTCTTCACGTTACCGCGTTGAATGCATAGAGGCACACCTCTTATTCTGCGGTCGGACTTGGACCTGCTCTCCGGATCTCTTCACTCGACCATGCTGCCGAAAAAGCACAATGAAGTTGTCCTCAGAACTCGGTGTCTTCCACCCCACAGACAGCGCTAGAGTGAGACGTATGCAGGAACCCGTCTAGGTTTCTCTGCTCCACGGCTGCTGCTGCTGCTGTTGCTGCTGCTCACGATAGGGCCGGGTCGTCCTGGCGGAACGTTCTTTCTGTGTTCAGATTGTTGTGCGGTAAGGTGCTGTCATCCTGGCGCTCAGGTGCCCACAGTGCTTTAAGGACACCATTTCAAACGCATTGTAGGCCTGCACAATCTACACTGAGATGGCTGGAGACTCATGGCAGTGTCCTTTAAATGTCCATTTCTGCTGGACTATTCATCCTCAACCAAACTGTCACACAAGTGTCTATGCATAGAATGACCAACGTTTGGACCAAGTCATTGTTTTGCAAGTTACAAGTACGTTTAAAATAATTTCCCCAATCCTCGATCAAGTCATTTGACCAAATATGCAATTTAAACATAAAGAGGTTTATCTGCTTGCCAGAACGCCAGGCAAGAGAAAACGAACTTCAAAAACATCACAAAATCAATTCTGATGTCAGTTTTTTTATAATAACAAATATATGGAGCTAAAACAGTCTCAACATTCACAAATGCACAGGAAGATTCACACATACACAGAACATGTTCAAACTAGTATTTTTGATGCAAACACAAATATGGGGGACTTTTACTGCCTTAAGTCAAGAGCATATATTTTCAATTTGCCAGCAGGATTTCATCTTTTTCTCAAAACTTGCAATACTTGTGCTTAATGTTTATTTTTTTTGGCAAAATGACGACACAATAAACATTGAAAATATGGCAATGTTCATCAAAATGTATAGTAGTGAAATCAGTTTTGTTTCACTCTACTGAACATCTGTGAATACTATCTAATTTTGTATTGGTGAGTATTGGGGCCGGTGTTATGAAGAGAAAGGTATGACTACTGAGAATTTCATGCCCTGTCGCGGGAACGCGCATCGCTCTAAACTCTGGCATTTTGATGAGAAAACTGACTGAAATATGACCGAAGAGGAAACTTTTTGTAACATTATATGTAACATATATGTAACATATTTGTAACATTATCATGTTTCTTAACTATATTAGCCCTAAAACAGTGGGTTTTATTTCGTAGATGATTTGAAATAAATACGGTTTTGACACCTTTATTGAGACATATGAGTCAAACGTTTTACAGTCAATGTCTGATGAAAATGTTCTCCGCTAATGGTTTGCAGTTCCCCGCTTTTTCTTTTAACACTGTAATAGCTTAACACACGAGAAAACAGAGGCCCATTATGTAGAACATTTGATATCACCTTTATGTGTCTAGTCTATTAATATAGGAGGGGATGCATTTTAATTTCTGATCCAATATCTGCATGTCTTGTCTATTGTCCTATTGATATGAAAGTCATACCAGTAGCTATGCAGGGGATGCATTTTTGGCAAAGCTAATTATTAGCTGTAAAAAGAAAAATGAAGTAGAAAGTCATTATGTGATAATTTTGTATGTGTGTAATTATGTAGGAATTGTAGTAATAATAAAAATAATAATAATAATAATAAGAAGAAGAATACAATTAATTTAAATTTGTATACAACGTGGTACAAAACAGCTGTGAAAAATTTAACCTTTAATCAAAACAAACTAAAGATCTGTATTTAACTCTCTCCACCTCCAACCTCCATGTAGAACATGCAGCAGATAAAATATACAGCTGCTTTTCAAAAGTGTGAAATAAAAATGCAAAAGCAGATCTAGCCATCTAGTTCAGGTTCAGTGAATCACATTGTTGGAGGTAAGTTACTATATTCCCAATATTTTTGATGATCAGCTTATCTACAGCATATTCATGAAGGTAGAACCACTAACATTAAGGCGCCAGCAATTCTCTTTATTTTGCTGCACAATCCTGTTTGTTGTTTGTAGATCAGACTTGCATATGATATCAGGTTGTTATCTGTTTTTATACACACAAAACTTTAGTAGATCTGACCCAAAGAGGGGCCAAGACTCCATCAAGACCTCTGAACTTCAGCCATGATGAGTCCAAATAAAACTCTCAAAAATCTGTCACCACAAGAGGGCATAAAGGAGCCACTAGTAAACAACTGTATTTGCATTTCAAACATTACATTAATCCCGTAACAGTCACACTTACAGTGCTTGTAATCTAAGTCAAAGGGTCCATGATAGTTAAGAGGTTCATAACCATCATTGATAGTTAATGATGACACTCTTAACATCCCTGTCATCATGATAGTTAAGAGGTTAATAACTGTAACGATACAGTCGTCAAATTTATTTCTTCTACATATAGCTGTGATTAGTTTACCAGAGGTGTAAACTGACTTACAAAACATGCGAAATTAGCTCTTAATACCACCTAAACATACATCATTATGTGTACAGTTTGTTTATGTTCTTTCTTTTCTTTTTTTTTTCAGATTTGATGGTGGATTATTGAATGCCAGCAGCTTCTGGTTTGTTGGTTATCACATAACACAGAACCTGCACAATGATTCAGTCCTGGAGCTGATTTTTGAAGAGCTTTCATAAATAAGACCATGGATGTGGAATGCTTTGCTTTTCTGTGTCTGTCCTGTCATCATTTTGAAATATTTCTTGGTTTAGGAAAAGCAAGAAGTCAAAAGCAAATATACTTTTTGTTTTGAATACATGCATTAAAAGTAAAACATCTGGAAAATAAACAGGAAAGTACAGATACACATAAAAGCTACTTAAGAACATTAACTTGTACTTTGTTACTTTCTACTTCTGTCCAATATACTGGATTTCCCAGCTGGAAACTTTTTAAGCTACTTTGATGAATTCATTGAGTATACTGTACTGTTTAATAGTGAGGATAAGTTGGAATGTATGAATGACTGAATTGAAATTAGTGATTTTTCTGTTATGTGCCTTGAGAAGATATCTGTTGTAGCTACGATAACCAGGAAGTCAGACCAAGGCATTGCAGTTTTACTTTGTAGGGACCTTAAGTACATGATTTACATGTGAAAAGGAAGGATTTAAAAGCATGTTATATCCACTTAAAAAAATCTTGATGGGCCATTTGCTAACTGCAGTGTTGGTAGGCAGAACTACTTTAGATTCAGCTGAGTCAGTTTGAATATTAGGGAGTATTTTTCATTTTATTTTTTAATATGACTTGTAAATTTTATTTCATGACTGATGAAAAGATGCTTAAACCATGCAGATGGTTCAGCTATACCCAGTTGTCAATATAGTCCAAAACAATCAGGAAGTACTAAAGACTTCAAACAGAGACGTTGAACATCGGTAAGTCTGGCTTGGAAACATCAACCATTTCATTTTTAACCAAATAACAGTTTACTTTCTTTTTGTCTGTCTAGAAGCTAGGGTGATTATGGTTACCTAACATTGTACTTGCCTATCAAAATGGCAGTTCAAAACTTTGGGTACGATACATTTAAAACTCAAGTTACTTTGGTCAACATATATTTAATAAAACTGTGATTAATTGCATGCTGATTAGGTGATAATCTTTTCCCATGTGCATTAAGTTCCTACAAAGCTCTCATTCACCCCATGGAGAAAATACACAAGAACGAAGGGGATGGGGTAAGAGGGCGGAGGGGTGAAGGGTTTCCCAGTAGTAGGTCTCACTCTTCAGACTAATGAGAGAGAATGAAGGCAAAGTAACAGTAAAATACTGACAACACGTCACTTCCTAACAATGTCATCCGTGCAGATCCAGAGTGGTAAGAGGGAGAAATGAAAAAAGGTCCAGTTTTAACCCCTAGCAGGGTTTAAATCATGTTTGATGAATAAAAACACAGCTGAATTTAACAATTTAACAAGATGGGAAAAAATAAGAGTATATTTTACAGTAAGTAGTAAGAAGCTGGTTTTGTCTGATTGCTTTGCTCCATGTTGTCTCACAGACTTTGAAACACAAGTTAATATCTAATAGAATGTAATTTCTGAGTTCCAGCATTGAAATGATTTTTCTTTGCAGTTCCAGCAGGTGATCTTTCTTTGTTAGTTTTTTCTATTCTGTTTAGTGTTTTTTTAATCATAACTTACTTTTGCTATTTGCTATGTTAACCATTTCCTCCAATGTTTTCCCAGTTTCTCACTCCTTTAAATACTGTTTTTCATCAGCAGTCAGTATACTCCTATATTGCTTCTATTGCTTCCTTCTTTGTCATATCTTTATGTTTTACTTGCAGTTGCTCACTTAGTTTTTTTGCCTGAGGTTGTTCTGAATTTTGCTTTTCACCCTTATTTTTTAATTGCTATTAAAGTTTCATTTTAGGTTTAGCTCTGCTTGTTTCTTCCCTGCATTTTGCACCATTCAAGGCATCAGCATGTTGGAGTAGCTCTGTTATCTGCATTTATTATTATTATTTTAAGTTTTAATTTCTTTATGTCTGGCAGAGAAATTACTTGTTTGGGGGGATGATAATACTCTCTAGCTTTGGATGCTGTGCAGCTAGAAGGATTTCTATTGATATTATTTTTAGTTTTGGTCATATGCTATGATGTGTAACCATAGAAACATAGTGGTGTACAAGTGGAAGGAGCTGAATAACGTTGCACAAGCTAAAATAATACCTCAAGTGAAGCCACAAATCTTAGATCAGCTTAAAAGGAGGCATCATGTTTATGGATGCAGAAGAAAAAGGAAAGAGGAAAGGAGGAAATTCAAACCATAAAACATGAGATCACTGGCCAACAAGTTTAAAATAATCCTTTATTAATTCCACAAGTTTGAAATTGAAGTTGTCATGACAAAAAGTGGACAGAACAAGAGTAACAGAAGTGGGGCTTGGCGGTGCGACCAGTGAACAGAGAGAGGCCTTGGTCCTCCACGCGTCCATCATGGGTTTGAGTCCCAGCCTGATGACCGTTGCTGCACATCTTCCCCGTTTCTCGTAATCCACCTTCCTGTTTGCCTACTGCAAAATAAAGGCCACTAGGATAAAACCAAGAGTAACAGAAATGAGAAACGACAAAATAAAAAACAGTGCAGTGTACTCTCTCTCTCACCCACAGACATGTACGTGGGAAAGAAAGGATCTTCTGAATCATCCCCACTTTGTGGATGGAGCAGTCTGCCCGTTGAAGGAGCTGTTCAGTGCTGTCAGAGCTCCCTGCATGAGGCGGATGATGAAGTCCAACAGCTAAAACAGCTCAGCCACCATTCTCCTTCCACACAACACCCCTCCTGGGTCCAGAGGCCATCGTGGGACAGAGCTAGCCATCCAGATCAGCCTTTTCGGTCTCTGTCTGTCCCCAGCAGACCACACCAGTCTGTCTGTGGTAATGTACCTTTACTGAGACTCGGCTGCAGGATCACATCCCAGACTATAACGCCTCTCTGCCAGGCTCCCTGACTATATGAGCAAACAGATGTTTAAAGAGCAGCAGGAAAAGAAAAGCAGGTGCATTTGCAGTGCTTGTCAACAACAGATGGTGTCATCAGGACATGTTACCACAGTGAACACTTGGCAGTAAGTTTCCATCCATATTACTTACCAAAAGAGTCTACCAGTGTTATTTTGGTAACTGCCTATGAAAACTACACAAACTGCATGTGCTTTCCACTCTGTAACTATTCTGCTGCTCCTTTATGTGATATCTACAATAAATAAATCCAGCTTGTGCAAATGACTTCAGGCCCAGGAACTTTCTGATCAGAATCATTACAGATTTCTTTAGATTTAAACTGAATGATTTGTAGATTTAGAGAGGAGACTGGCTGTAGGATTCTCTGTGAGAGAGTAAATAAGACCACCATGATGTAGAACACACAACTTGTCAAAGCAGAACATTGTTTTTATATAATTACCTCATTAATTATTAACATCTCACAAAAATAAGTACAACTTCTCTTGTGCAATTTCAATTAACTAAAATATACCACAAAACAAATCTTAACCACAAAAAAGAAGATAAATAATGTTGCAAGTAAATCTTAAAGCTATCATATCTAACACTTCTTGTCAGTCATTGTATACAGTCTTTCTCATGGAAAAAACTCATGGTTTGCTGGAGTCTCTCCTAGTAAACCAGCTCCTTGTTCTACACTTTGCTTCATCCAGAGGGTCTGGGCTCTCAGCTGCTGAGAAACGACTGCTTCCTGGTGGTGTGGACTCTGTTGAAGTTTCAAATTTTACCCAATTGCTAACATTTGCCCATGGTGTGTGTAATGTACCAGTTTGACACTCAGGATATCGCCTGGGCTGTAAACAACCGTTCTCCGCTACAAAGTGAAAAGTGCAGATCCGAGAGAGCCAGCTGTTATGTTAATTTCATATTTGGAGGTGTGTTACACTGAGAGGTGTGGTGTGGAAGGAAAACTCAGCAAAGTTGGCTGTAGCATACATAAAGGTGATTTATTAGGCCTCCTTCAGCACAGCATAATCCACTCACAAGACAAAATGGCATCTTTTCCAGCAGTCTCTCAGCTTTCTGTTTCTCAGCTTTCTCTTTTTCTCAAGGCTCAGCCAGTAGTGTCCTTATATACTGTTGTCCCCACCTTCTCTATTAACTGCCCAGCCAATCAAACTCCAGCAAACATGGCCCTTTCTATATAAGAGCTGGGTTTGAGGCAGGCCTCCTCTTTGGTAGGTTCCAAGATGGCCACTACAAGGACACACCCAAAAAGGTAACAAACATTTCACAAACAAAAGGATCACATACACACATTCTAGAACTTAAATGTTACAGAAAATATTATTGCTTCTTAACATTTTCTTAACAAGGTGTGACCTAAAAACACAGACCGAATGTCCTCATTTAGTTTCACGGCTGCCGTTTCTAAAGCTGCAGGTAGACTGCAATTCTAAAACAGAGCAGAAAATCAATGTCACCATTCACAAATTCTCCTTCTGTTCCCTGATTGGTCCAGTTGAAAGTCTAACAGAGGAATCAAAGACAATGGGAGAAAGCCCAGACTGAGCTGTGAAGTGAAATTTGAATCGAGCGGAATATTAAAGCAAGTCTGAGCTGCTTGAAGTCCATTCTTAGTATCTATAGAGGCTGTAGTGAATAAAGATAAATACTTTCTTCATCTTGTAGACCAGTTTTTTATTGTCTACATTAAATTCAGAATAAATAAACTTAAACACAGTGTATTTCCCAGTTTTATTGTTTATATTTTTAAGGTCTTCCTGAATGGATGATATTCTTTCTTAATTACTTTTAATTTATGTCCATCCTGAATCCGTGTATCAACAAAAATTTTATTATAATTTCATAGTGAAAATAAAGATACCAGTTACAAGATATGGTTTTCATTCTTTACAAAGCAAAATTTTATATGTCTTAAAAACATAATCTTAGTTACTTTATTATGACAGCAAGAACTCTTCAGTTCAGTTAATTTAACTGGATGTGGATATTTGTTTGTCCCTAAATTTCACAAGGAAAATAAACACATGCATTAGACCAGTGGTTCCCAAACTTTTTCTTCTGTGCCCCCCCAGTGGGGGCAAAATGAATGTACATAGCTGAAAATAGAGGTAGCCTGCAAGGTACTTGTTAAGCTTAAGGTTCTGTATTGATTTTAGCTAGTTATCTTTTAGCTAACATTACCTGCATCCAGCAGCTTTACTCAACTCAGTCGGTTAGTTTGGAGGGAAAAACTGTGAAAAGTTCTTTGCGTTTTGCTGGTTTGCTGCCGTGATTCTAACACAAACCTACGTAGCTCTGCACAGCAGCAGCAGGTCTCCTTGACAGGTGGAAACCCAGCGCGAGTGTCGCCCATGTTGCGTTTAAAGGTGGCTCGGAAAAACAGGTTACACCATGTTAACAACTGATTAAACAGTTTTAACTGCTGATAAAAGTGACAGAGGACACAAATATGGGAAGTGTGGAAGCCTCTACTGTATCAAATTGACAGAGGAATAACAGAGAGTTGGCCATTCTAAGGTAAAAACCCAGCGCATACAGTGTTCATGTTTTGTTTTGTTTTTTCATCCAGATGGCTTCCCGCGCCCCCCTTGCAATGACACGGCGCCCCCCCTTAGGGGGCGCGCCCCACAGTTTGGGAACCTCTGCTTTAGACTACAGTTGGCCACAAACTACATGTATTATCACCCAAACTTTAAGACCTGATAACTTTACAAGAAATCAAATAGTAACAAACTAATACTCAAGTATTAACTTTTATAAGATTTGACTAATGGAGCACAAACGAATAAAGTTTGTAGTAATTTGATTAATAGATCAAATTACTACAAAAATGTTAAAGTTGACCATAATTAATTAAAGTAGATCTTCAACAAACCGACGCTTAACTTTGGTTTGTTGAGGAGACAAACAATCTTCTGAGTAAAGTTGTTCAGGGGTCAAAGAGCAGTGTTGACATTTTGACATCTATCTGCTGCTTGGTATCAAGAAGGAAGGCCTCAATGATTTCTTGGTTAATATGTAACTTATCTGGCTATTACACAATTGTGTAGTAATGTTGTCAGTTGCTAATGATAATTAAAGCCTTCAGCACAATGAAGTGATTTTAAATTCTGGTCATATCTAAGAGATCACAAGACGAGACAAGAAGAAGACAAGAAAATATCTCCTGAACAATATACCCAAATAAATAAATCCTGTTCTCAGTTCTAACAGTCTTAACATCTGTGCTCATGTTTTCCTTAATACTCTAGATAACATCAGAAATCAATCCAGCTTGTGCATGTACGCACAAACGGTTAAAAATTCCAGTTTGTCACAACAATATTTATTGGACTGAATGAACTGTGACAAGGTGTTGGTCACCCCACCCCCAGCAAACACCCCCACTCAAATCCCTCTCTATCTGCTATCTTCCGGGAACACTAATAGGCTCCTTGCAGAGTAATGTGACCAATTGAATCCTCCTGGCCCTGGAGCTCGATGCTGCACCTCACAGTGGAGTAAAGAGCAGCACGCTCAGTCACACTCAGAGACAACCTCAGAGGAGAGAAATTTTCCTCCCCCCACACTTTTTCTGTTGGACTCCTTTTGGGATTTTGAACCCCCATTTTTCCAAGGAATCGGTGGCGCTCTCTGAATGAGCCGCAGTCCTGTGTCTGCTTAACAGAGCCAGTCTAAGGGGAACAGGTCAAAGGGCTCCAGGTTGGCCCTGAGTGCAGCTCTAGGTGAGTACGAGTCCCAGCATGATGCTGTCCTGGGGTGAGGTTCTGATACCCGGATGGAACAATCGGTGATCAAATCAGACATGGGGATTGGTTACAGCTGAAGAGTTTTTTCTGGAGCAACACAGAGAAAGTTTGTGTGCATTTAATTGTTGTTATCAAAGGCTGTAAAGAAAGATGTTTTCAGCTTAGTTTTTTTTTTTTCTAAAACTATTCGTTGGAATCAGAGTGAACTAAGAGTTGGTAATCAACCAACAGACCGAAAACAAGTCCAAGTATTCATCTTTAAATGAATTTAGATTGTTAGATGTCTGATGTTGCAGTTCAGACATGCTGTGAAGTGATAAAGTTAAAAATGTAGAAAACAGTGGCAGCTGATCACACATTACATAAACCTCTGCACGAGCCCAAAGTAATGAGCACCGTGTCTCTGATGTGCTGCTTCACGCAATCAGAAATAACTTCAACTGCAAAAACTCTGTAATGATACAGTCACATGAAACACTGAGTATGTTTCTGCTGGCAGACATTTTTTAATAAAAGCTATAGATTAGTTAGTTTTGTTATAGCAAAGTGATGCTGTTCTTTTGTTGTCATAGTGCTAAATCCATGGTGTAATCATGTCAAAAAACATGAAGGAGTCTTCAGGAATCCATAATGAATCAGTTTACGTTTTAATGATCATTTATGTGTGATGACATTTGTATGTAAAAAAAATCAAGTTGTATTTTATAGGATACACAGTATAATTCAGAACGCCTAAAGCTCTGCTGATCTCTGCCTCAGTTAAGGTCAGAGTTCATGGTTGAACAATAAGAAAGGTGATCAGATCAGAACCACTGCTTATCAAAAAGAACTCAAAGGCCCATGTCACCTTTACCAAAAAGTTCTTAATGATATTCATGACATTTAGAAAAATATTCTGTTGACTGATTAGATTACAGTGGGATGTGTTGGGTCCCGTTGTGGGTACTGGTACATCCACCATAAAATAATCAGCATTTCCTTAAAACAACATCATCATTTCAGTCCAGGAAACGCTGCAGAGATCCTCCATCTACAAGCTTGTCCAGGAAGTCTTTTATCCCACACGATGATCTGTTTTATTGACGGAACCTTGAATTCTGCTCTTTACCAGAAAACCTTGTCAGGAGAAAAATCTGCCATCCTAAACTGAAGCATATGTAGGTTATGCAGCCATACAAGGAGGAGGATGATCAGGGTTGTCCATAATATTCTTGATTTTGTGAAGAATTCTTCTTTGCGCCATCATTTTCCAGAGTTTAATATGACCTTAATAATCATTCATTCTTGAAAATCTATCAAATGTGGCTGAATTGGAAGCAGTTCTGCAAAGTAGAGGGGTACAAAGTTCCTCCCCAGTTCCCATGTGGGATGGCAGTGACCCTCACTGCCATCCCACATGTTTGGACTGGAGGCATCATCCATTATTAAGTTGGGCCAGGCTGGTTTTCTTAGCTTTAGACATTTAATAAATCACGTCATCATTTGAAAGTATAATTAATGATCTGAAACATGTAAGTCTGATCAACAAGTTCTTTCACAGCTCAGTCTGATGGTAGTCTAGAGTCATTTCCGGACATGCCGTATGTAAAACAGAACTACGCTGACACTATGCTAATATCCTCATCCCTCATAGCTGGTTCCATCAGAACTGTCTCAGTTTCAGTGGACTTGAAAGTGAGACATGTGACAGTCTTGCTGAGTGTTATCCAACTATTGTTTATTCTGGGAAGAGTAAATTTTCCAACCAAATCACTCCAGACCCAACCTAAATGCTGAAGCATGGCAACACAAGTTTTAACTTTGAAGAATAGAAAAAGCACAATAATAAAACCACTCAAAGACATTGAGTGGTTTTATTCATGGAATGGAGAGATTTGTTATTTGTGAAGAGTCATACAGCCATGCAGGGAAAGCTCCCTGCAAGACACATTCCTACTCTGCATGTCACTGTGTTGCTCAGACTGATTCCCAGCTGAGAGCCGCTCTAATCTCCTGGCAACAATATTGACATAGAAATAGAAACTCTGCAGAATGCAGAAGTCTAGCTGTCAGACTATCAGGGCTGCCGGCACATACATCCCCTACAGCTGCTTAAATTAAACATGACTGTTCTGTACATTCAACCTAATTTTGAGAATCTGTTTTGGCCCATTTCATGAAAACAAGGACCCTAAAATCAGTTGATTTCAACATGTCCAGAACTGATTCCATGACCAGACCTGTCAATAAGAAGCTTCAGAACAAAACATCTCGAATTTGAATATTCAATGAAAATGTAAAAATGTCCATGTTTAGTAGTTTTATTATTTTTTGCACTTTCAATTCACACCGTATCCACAAACTATGTTCACAACCATATTTATCAATAACTGGAGCAGAGCCTGAGGCTGAATAAAGCCTGAGCAATAAAGAAAGGAGCAGCTTCAGAGTGTTACTGCTGATCAGTCACATGAGTTCCTCTGAAAGAACATAACTATCAAAGTTTAAAAATTATGTTACTATCATTAATTTTTAATTTTTTCTTTTTTTCAGGGTCAATTTTGTTTGCCCTGTTTGAGATCTGCCTGCAACCATGACAACCAAAACCAACAGTAGCGTTCTGGCTGGCAAAGCGTCCTCCTACCCCTTGTTGTCTTCTCCCCCTCGTCAGCGTCTAGTCACCAAAGATGGACACTGTACGCTTAATACCCCTGCCTGCCCCTCAGACTCGTGGCGCAGGAGCTGGGGCAGAGTCTGGCTGCTGGCGCTGCAGGATTTGTGGGGACTATTGGTGAGTCTGCGCTGGAGATGGGTACTCCTCGCCTTCTGTGCATCCTTCATTGCCCACTGGCTGTTGTTTGCCTGCTTGTGGTACTTGCTGGCCCATCTCAATGGAGACCTTGCTGTGAAAAATCATGATGACCCCCCACAGGATCACGTGGTTTGCGTGAAACATATTACAAGTTTCACTGCTGCCTTCTCCTTCTCTCTTGAGACCCAGCTGACCATTGGCTATGGCACCATGTTCCCCAGTGGAGACTGTCCCAGTGCTATAGCACTGCTGGCTGTGCAGATGCTCCTGGGGCTTATGCTGGAGGCCTTCATCACAGGTACAAATTCTGACCAAAGCATGAGCGAACACTCTATGCTAGACGTAATAAACGTATCTGCAGTGAGGCTGTGCTCAGGAATTAGGCAAAATGTAATACTGGCAAAGAACTACAGAATTAAATGCAACAAATTCAACAAAATGTGATGAATGTAAGAAAATCACCATATTTGATCTTTAAAGGTTCAAGAACATCATGTGAATTCATTAACTATGCTTTAATAAAAGTAGAGCATATATTTTCTCTTTTTTTATAAATACCATCTGATACTTTTGGTGTTTAAATTCTTACAGAACATACAAAATATTAGAATCAGTCAGGAAGCAGGTATTGGATATAATTCTTCATTTAAAGAGTATATTTTTAATCAGACATGTATTTAATTATTTTTTGAGCAACTGATTTGGTTTTGATGACAGTCGGAGTGAGACATCGTGGTTACATGGTCCTTAATGAGTCACAGTATATAAGGCATGGACTTAAGGAAATAATATGTAAGAGACAAATGTTTGTTTCTCAAATAAAATGTGAATGAACAGAAAAGAACAAGTAAAAATAAACATGATTGCAACCCCGGAAGGATAAGAAGGTGTAGACAATGAACGTATGGATGGATAGTGTCAACTCTTGGAGTGAAAACCTTTTACTCTGTTTTGCAGTAGAGATCCTTGTAGAAGTGTTCATCATGCATCCAAACAACCACAGCTCTCAGACAAACATATATAGCTGTTATTTAGAGGTAGTAGTAAATCTGGCAGTCATGCTTCTGGAC